ACAGCAAGATATTAATAATACTTTATTATTTATTACAATTTTTACAATTACTTATGAAATATTTATTCTCAATAATTATTTCATGAATTATTACGAGAAATATTTCGCCTCGAATATTATTCTATCTTTCGAATTTCCCCTAAACGCATGGTTCTAGTTACAAGATTTGGGGTCCCTAGCGCTATCCCCTAGTACCCTTGCGCTCGAATGAATCGAGTCGACTTTTTGCGCTTCAAAACGCAAACGTAATCACGCTCGAAGTAGGAGAGAACGTTACTGTAACGAGCAACAGATTGGTGAATAGGATAGTGTCAAGGTCCCGTTTGACAGTGAATCGTTCCTCGTCGCAATGCCGATCGTTGAGCATGCTAGTGGCAATGCTAATGGCCACAGCTTATCCCAAGCATTGTCGGCTTTTCAAGCCTTTTCAATTCGTCAGATGGCGGCTGATACGTAGACACGCGATCGCAGCATGCATCCTTGCGATTATTATCAAAGAAGGAACAAGTCACACCGTTGAAAACGTCACGTAATCCTGTTCAAAATTATTATAAGGAAAATATTCGCTTTATTCTATATTTTTTTTCTCTCTCTCTCTCTCTCTCTCCTTGAAATATCTAACCTAGAAATATTTCGAAGGACATATTGTTCAATCGTCGTGCGTTCTTTCGAGGAAGGAAACCGTCATCTTGCTCGTGAAATTGCAGTTGTCAGATCGCCAAACTTTTTCCCCCAACTTTTTTATTAAAATTTTTCATATATAAAAATCTTTTTTAGTCCAGATCCAATCTCTCTTTTGCAATAAAATCTCGCCAAGTTATCGCGAGATGGAAATAAATTTACAATGAGAGAACGAGATAAATATTCAAAATAACGCGATTGGAAGATTGATAATAAAATTTTTAGACAATTCTTGTACCGCGTCTCGACGAATTTCTGACACTTTGCTGTCGCAACGTGTAATTATCATTTTTACACGGATTGTACACGTATATTCCCATTACGTAGATTTTTCATATTTTCCCAAGAGGAAATCCGTGTAAAAAATTTGCGATTATGCGAAGACAAATTATATTCATAAGGAATAAAATAATATTGATAAATCATTTAATTTAATCGGGCCTTTCCAACGATATTTCTAGTTACGAAATTAGAAAATATGTTGTAATTTATCCAGATAATCATTAGGGGAAAACCAGGGTGACAATGTATACATATATATTATATACATATAAAGATAAATATCATAGTGTGCTTATATGTCTTGATAACTCAGTCGTATCTCTAATCTTTTGTGCCTCATTTTATGTATATCTGATTCTTATCGGTATAATAGTCATTATTGAATTAAATGAAATGAATTATCAAAATTTCTAGCAGAGGAAAAAAAAAAAAAAAAAGAAAGAAAAAACGAGCCATGTTTTCACGATTACACAATCGTTTTTATGGAAGAGATTAGATATTTCTGAGGTCAGTGACGTGGTTAATTAAAAATTAGCCTTCCCTATACGTTTTATGGGACATGGTAATTATACGTTTCTCCATACACGTATATCTGTATATTCTCATTTTGTTTGATACACGATTACTTATACATATAGATATATATATATATATATGCCATGTCTTATACGGGTTTTAACTCTTTCAAGATTGGCGTGATGATACGTTTCAAGGTAATTTTTACAAAGTGTACACGGTTGTTATTATTTTTCTTTTTATTTTTTTTTTTTTCTTTTCTTTTCTTTCTATCACTATATATATATATATATATATATCATACAGATAGATATATGATCTTATTCTGAAAGATTAATGAGGCTATATAAGGTGTCTCAGTTAAATCGAAACTATTTCCGTTGCTTGATTAAAAGGTGAGAAAATAAGAAGGATTTTTAATGGTTTCAAGGAGCGCATCTGATGGCGATCGAAGGAGAAAAAAAAAAAAAAAATCTCTTCAAGGATGTTTTTTAAAGGTCATTCCAAAATAATCGATTTTTTTTTTTTTTTTTTTTTTTTTTTTTCTCTCTTTTACACGTGTTAACATCTGCTTTTTGCAACGTAACGTTGCGCAGTCAATGTAAAAGACTTGGGTTCAAAAATGTTGTGCCCTTGAAGTGACCTTGGAGAAGAAAAATGAGTTTAAATTGGAACGAGTGTAAAAATAATAAAAAAAAAGCTGTAGAAGAATGATAAGCCGGTTTATTTCGTATATGAATATTTAAAAACTTAGACTTTTGCAGACACATTCGCACATTTCGTTTTCTCTGTAAACAAATACCACGTCCATTCCTTTTTCCATTTAAAATATTTTAAACCATTTAAATTTATAAAAAAAAAAAATTCGTTGCACGAAATTTTCAAATTAAACACCGTTTTACATTACGTATGAAGGGCATGAAAGAAGATCAACCTTGATGCGTTTAAAAGCTTCTGGGATCTAGAAGAAAATAGAAGGATTATCTTAAAAAGTTTGCAACTTTGTAAATCGATGTATATATACATATATATATGTTTTACCATTATATTTATTTAGCTGTGTGATTAAACATAGTGAAATATCTTCGTGATAATCGAAAAAAAGTAACAAAAGACTTTAAATGTTATATATTTTGTAAAGTAAGAAAAATTCGAGGCGCGAAATTATACTAATTTATATCTTTTCAACTTTCGAACGCGTGTCGCGCGCTTTCCTTATTTTTCAAAGCGTGGAACAGAGACAGACGACAATGAGAAATGCCAACGATAAATTATGACCAGTGCTATCCCTCGTCGTCCTTTTGTATTCTCATTACGGCGATACGGCTAATATTTTATAATCAAAATTTGCATGAAAACGGAATGTCCAATTTTGCATTGATATATTGTTAATCTCTGAAAAAAAAATTGTGATAAAAGATTAACGATAACGTTTTTTAACAATTTCACTTTTCACATTCGTTAATTTTCGTATTTTAAATTTAAAAAAAAAAA